AATTCTACCAAACATTCAGAGAAGAGTTGACACCAATCCTACTCAAACTATTCCAGAACATAGAAAAGGAAGGAATACTCCGGAATTCATTCTACGAAGCCAGCATAACCCTGTTACCAAAGCCAGGCAAAGGCACCACTAAAAAAGAAAATTATAGACCAATATCCCTCATAGATATAGACACAAAAATTCTCAACAAAATCTTAGTCAGCAGAATTCATACCATATCAAAAAAATAATATACTATGACCAAGGAGGATTCATACCAGATACCAGGTATGCAAGGATGGTTTAACATTAGAAAACCAATGTAATTTATCACATAAATAAAACAAAAGAATCACATGATCATCTCAATTGATGCAGAAAAAGCATTTGCTAAAGTCCAACACCCATTCTTGATTTAAAAAAAACTCTCAGCAAAATGGGAATAGAAGGGAAATACTTAAACATAATTAAAGGCATATATACAAAACCAACAGCCAACATTCTCAATGGAGAAAGACTGAAAGCATTCCCCTTGGGAACAGGAACTAGACAAGGATGCTCTTTATCACCATTTTTATTCAATACTGTACTGGAAGTCCTAGCTAGAGCAATAAAGCAAGATAGGGAAATAAAAGGAATTCACATTGGTAAGGAAGAAGTAAAATTATCCCTATCTGCAGACTACATAATCTGCATAGAAAATCTCAGAGACTCTACAAGAAGGCTACTGGAACTAACAGAAGGATTTAGCAAAGTGCAGAGTCCAAGATTAACATAAAAAACTCAGTCCGATTCCTCTACTCTAACCAAGAGAACTCTGAAAAGGAAATCGGGAAAACAATATCATTTACAATAGCCCCCAAAAAGATAAAATACTTGGGAATAAACCTAACTAGGGACGTAAAAAGACATACAAATAAAACCAAAAAACATTACTGTAAGAAACCAAAAGATACCCACATAAATGGAAAAACATACCATGCTCATGGATAGGAAGACTTACCATTGTGAAAATGACGATGCTTATATGGAAAAGAAAGAGGCCCTGGATAAGTAAAGCATTACTGAAGAAGAACAAAATAGGAGGCCTCACACTCCCTGATCTCAGAATCTATGATATAGCCACAGTAGTCAAAACAGCCTGGTACTGATACAATAGACACATAGACCAATGGAACAGAATAGAGAACCCAGAAATAAAACCATCCACCTATGGACAGTTAATCTTTGACAAATGGTCAAAATCCATTAAATAGGAAAGAGATAGTCCCTTTAACAAATGGTGATGGTAAAATTGGATATCCATTTGCAGAAAAATGAAACCGGATCCATATCTCACACCATACACAAATGCTAACTTAAGATAGATCAAAGACCTAAATGTAAAACCTAAAACCATAAAGATCATAGAGGGAAAAATAGGGGCAAACCTAGGAGCCCTAATTTATGGCATAAATAGGCTATCAAACATAACTAAAAAAGCACTAACAGCAGAAGATAAACTAGATGATCAGGACCTCCTGAAAATCAAATACTTATGCTCATCAAAAGACTTTTCCAAGAGTAAAAGAACCCACAGACTAGGAAAATTTTTTTGGCTATGACATATCTGACAAGGGTTTTATCTCTAGAATTTATAGAAAACTCCAACAACTCAACAACAGAAAGACAAACAACTTAAAATTATAAAAATGGGCAAAGGACATGAACAGACACTTCACCAAAGAAGACATCTAGACAGCCAACAAATACATGAAGAAATGCTGGCGATCATCAGCCATTAGAGAGATGCAAATCAAAACTACAATGAGATACCATCTCACACAGATAATAATGGCACTGATCAAAAAAACAGAAAACAAAAAATGCTGGAGAGGCTGTGGGGAGATTAGAACTCTCATACACTGCTAGTGGAAATGTAAAATGGTACAATCATTATGGAAAATGATATGGCACTTCCTTAAAAAGCTAGAAATAGAAATACCTTATAATCCAGCAATCCCATTCCTAGGTATATATCCTAGAAAAATAAAAGCCGTCACACCAATAGACATATGCACAGCCATGTGTATTGCAGCATTATTTACAATAGCAAAAAGATGGAAACAGCCTAAGTGCCCATCAACGAATGAATGGATAAACAAACTGTGGTACATATACACAATGGAACACTATGCAATGATGAAGAATAACGACGTATTCTCAAAACATCTCACAACATGGATGAACCTGGAGGATATTATGCTTAGTGAAATAATTCAATCACAAAAGGACAAATATTGTATGAGACCACTATTATCAAAAGTCCAGAAAAGGTTTTCACACAGACAGAAACATTCTTTGATGGTTACCAGGGATATGGGATGCAGAGGGGAGGGAGACAGTAGACACATACTAACTGTGGTGAAGGGAGAGACAATACACAATACAGGGGACGTCACCACAACATAATCAAGGTAAAGGAAGACACTGAAAGGTACGTAAGAGTAAAAGGCAACAACAGTAAATACTAATACATATATAATCCTGCAACAACAGTAATAACAAACAATAACGTAAGAGTGGATACGTAGGTAGATATGTAAGCTGAACAGGGGTGGGAGGGCATGTGGAAGTACACCCACGTACATATATATGTGTACATACTGCAAATATACCTATGTATATAATAGTGCTCATAGGTGACACAGACACTAAAACTTAGCCGTAACCATACATCTCCTGGGACTAAGATACTGGGCTTGAGGGCTAGGGACCATAGTCTTGGGGGACATCTGGATCAATTGACATATCATAATCCATATAGACAACGTTCTACATCCTACCTTGGTGAGTAATGACTGGGGTCTTAAAAGCTTTTGAGGGCCATCTAAGATACAATTGGTCTCTTCCCATCCAGAGCAAAGAAGAGTGAAGAAAACCAAAGACTTAAGGAAACAATTAGTCCAAAGGACTAATGGACCACATGAAACATAGACTCCACTAGCCTAAGACCAGAAGAACTAGATGGTGCCCGGCTACCACTACCAACTGCTCTGACGGGGACCTCAATAGCAAGTCATGGACAGAGTGGGAGAGAAAAGCAGAACAAAATTCAAACTCATAAATAAAACCAGACTTACTAGTCTGATAGAGACTGGTGGAGCTCCTGACACTATGGCCCTTAGACACTCTTCAAACATGGAACTGAAATCACTCCCAGAGATCACATGATAGCCATACAATAGACCGAAAGCAAACAAACAAAAAACCAAACCCATTGCTATCGAGGCAATTCCCACTTACAGTGACCCTATAGAACAGAGTAGAGCTGCCCCATAGAGTTTCCCAGGAGCGCCTGGTGGATTTGAACTGCTGATCTTGTGGTTAGCAGCCATAGCACTTAACTACTACACCACCAGGGTATCCATACGATAGACGGGCCTATAAAATGAACAATAACACCAGTGAGGAATGTATACCTCAGAACAATCAACTATACGAGACCTAAAGGGCAGCACTTGCCCAAAAGCAAAGTTCAGAAGAATGGTAGGGGCAGGAAAGCTGGGTGAATGGACACTGGGAACCCAGGGAGGAAGGAGGGAGAGTGCTGACACATTCAAGGGTCTGCAACCAACGTCACAAAACAAGCTGTGTTTAAATTGTTGAAAGGGAAACTAGTTTGCTCCGTAAACTTTCACCTAAACAACAATAAAATGTTTAAACAAAAAGGTTACAACCAGGAAAACTCTATGGGGCAGTTCTACTCCGTCACATAGGGTCACTATGAGTTGAAATCAACTCCATGGCACCTAACATCAACCACCTAGTAGTTACTAGCTGATGATTTCTGGGATCTGGTCTTTCAATGTGGCACGAGGAGACAGTGTCATTCATTCGAAAAGCATCTCTCTGGCACCATCTTTGGGTCAGGTGCTGTGCTGACGCTCACGGCCTACCAGGGGAGATAAAGGAGTGAATCCACAGTGTGACGAACGCTAAGTCTGGGCAGGCAGTGGGGGTGCCGCGGAGGGAGCAGCTGTCGGAGGGTAATGAGGCTTGAGTAAAATTTCACGGAGGAGGTGGCATTTGGGCTGGAACTTTGAAGACCAAGAAAGTTCATGGGGTAGAGTGGGGTAAAATACTCCATCCAACAGGGAGCGCGCGCGGAAATGCAAGCGAGCACTGTCTTCAAAGAACGGCTAGTTGGTGACGTCAGCGTGTAGGGTGCACAAGGAACAGCGGCCGGAGAGGGTCGAAGCTAAGTTCAGCAGGGCCCGGGATGCCAAGGTAAGGTCCGCTCAGAGAGTTCAGTGGGCAATGAGGGCAGATGGTCACCGGGCGCGGCAAGGTGGAAGGCCGGGAAGGGATGGTTTAATATCTTCAGGGTGAGAGGCGTGGCAGGGGCGGGGTGGCTCGCCGGTGGCAAAGCAGACCGCGGAGTCACTGAGGGGGTGGGTCCAGCAGAATTCGCGGTCTGGCTCCGCACGCAGTGCTGAACGTGAGGGGCGGAAAGGAGACGCCTCCTGAGAGCGGGGCCCCACTTCCAGCCCAATTAGGATTTGGGATTGCTTTTTCTTCTTTCTGAGCGTAATCTGACGCTGTCGGGGGAGGGAAAGGCCGAAATCTGATCCTCCGCCGGCCCGGGGCTCAGTTAATGTTTAATCAGATAGAATCGTCCGATAGGGCTCTGGTGGCGTGATCTTCCCGAGCCCCGGGCGTCGCGCAACCACACCCTAAAAGATTTCCGCTGCGGCGTCGAGTCGCGTGTAGCTGCAGACCGGGACACGCTGCTCAGCTCCAGGCCGGAGGCAGGAGCAGGAAGCCAGGCAGTGAGAACGCCCGGGTCCGGGTCGCGTCGCGGCAGCGCGCAGCCCCCAGCCCGGAGCTCCGGGAGCCCCCTCGCGTGCGTCCCCCGCCGGGACCCCGAGCTCCAACATCTTCCTCCCCTGCAAGGTACAAGGGGCGGCCGGTGTGGACAGTGCGGCCCCCGGGTTATTTCCCCCAGGACACAAACCTCTGCCCCTGCCCTGATGGGCACGGGCAGCTGCGGGCGGCCGTGGTGGCCTCTGCTGCTGCTGCTGTTGACGCTCTTGGGCCCCGCGGGCGCCAGCGCACAGGAAGATGAGGATGGCGACTACGAGGAGCTGGTGCTCGCCTTCCTGTCTGAGGATGACGGCCCGGCAGACGTGGCTCAGCAAGTAGCCATTGCCACCTTCCACCGCTGCGCTAAGGTGTGCTCGCGGGCGCGGGTTTGGGATGCCGGGGCCAACCTGCCCCGGGGATGGATGTAGCGGTGGCAGTCTCCTCTCCATCCTCAGTTTCCCCAATGTAAAGGAAGGGCTGGAGTGAAAGGTCTCCAAAGGTTCTCTGCTCACCAGGCGAGGGGCTTGGCGCGGGTGGCGGGAGGGTGGAGGCGGCCTGCGCTTTAGGGTGCGCGGGGGTGAAGGGGCTGGGGCGCGCGGCCGCACTGTGAGATGGGGAAGTGCGCGGGGGCTGGAGACAGGGCGGCGCGACCAGAGCACGTCCAAGATCGCCTGCCCGTGTTTCCAACGTTGGGCACCTCCGTGACTCCGGTGGTTAAATGAATTAAAGCTTCGAACGGCAGCTGGCACGGAGGAAGTAGGCTTGCTATTATGATGTGTTCTGACTTGGTTCGGGAAATACGCTCCGTGGATGAAGTGTGTGTGATGGGGAGTGTCTGGGTGGGGATGGGGGTCTTGAAGAGAGATGGCGCTGCTCAGGGCCGGGGAGAGGTAGGAGACAAGGCAAACGCTGGGGCGGGAGGCAATTTCTTCATGCCACAGAACTCATATTCTAATACTGCATCCTTTTCAACGGAAGAAAAGAATAAGACAAAAGGGGAAGGGACGTAGTTATTCTCGAGACCCCTTGAGGCACCTGAGGCTGAGTCTCGGGAGGCGGGCTGGGAAGCGCTGTTGGTGCTCTGGCCCGAGGCTGGCGCGCCTGGTATCAGGGACGCCGGAGGCTGAGCTCCGCGCCGAGGCCCACCTGGCGGTCAGCGGAGGTTGGGAGGGCGGTGGGCAGGGCGAGTTGTTCGAAAATTTCTGAAAGCCTCTGGCTGGGGCTGTGGGAAGCGCCTCTCCGGGGTGAAGGCTGCTGATTGCCTTTATTTTATTACCTTCTTCGGGCTCAGCGGAGGTCCCATTGCCCAGGCTTGGAATCAGATCTGGCTCCACCACTTACTGGCCGTGGGGTGCTTGGCAAGTCATTACTTAATCTTTCTGAGCCTCCGTTTCCTTATCTTTATTATTTATTTATTTTTTTTAATGGATTTTTTATTTTTTTTCTTCGTTATTATGGTTTAGGTGAAAGTTTACAGCTCAAGTTAATTTCTCATTCAAAAATTTATACACATGTTATTTTGTGACATTGGCTGCATCCTTATCTTTAAAAGGGAGGTGATAATCCTTTCCAAAGGGTAGTTGTCAAGATTCAGTGCCCAGTAAATGGTGGAATGAAGGGAAAGGAACTCTGGTGACCACGTGAGTGCCTTCATTATGTAAGCCCAGGAAGGGATCACTATAGGAGGTAGAGGTCGTTCTGTACCTGGGCTGCAGTGTGACCTCCTGGTGACACGGACTTTACTCTAAAACCACCGCTTCTGGGGCACAGGGGAAAACTGCTGCTAACAGCTTCCTGACTGGCCCTTCTGGCCAGGCCCCAGCCCCTCTGCCTGATGTGTTCTGGGATGTGAGGTCCTTACTGCTGCCTGTGCAGGGTGAGTTAGCCAGCAGGAGAGGGAGGGCCCTATCTTCTTCAGTCTGGCTTTTATAGGGGAGAGGGCTTACTCCATTCAAAAAGCCCTCTTCTTTGTTTCTGAGCCTTTCAGATTCTAGAGGGGTATTGCTGGGTTGTGACATGAGAAGAAAGGGCATTTCAATTCACCACTGCACCAAAATAATTATTCTAGAAGTGCGAGTACTGAGAGGTAAGTAAGCAGAGGCTAGAGAACCACCTGAACCAAGCGCCTGAGGATATTTCTGCATGGGTGGAAGCTTGGAACAGGAACTACCTGAAGTTCATTCATTCATTCATTCCTTGAGTATTTTGTGTCAATTGAATTTAGAATGAAAATATTTTTGGCTGGCAGAAAAGGATTTTAGATTAATCCTTATATTTTACTCATGAGAAACTGAGGCTCAGAGAGGGGAGGCCTTACTCCATTGGTGGATTAGAACTAGACTCCCAGGTGAGCACTCATTCTACACTGCACAGAGTACCCTTACAATTTATTAGATTTTCATTTATCAGAGGACATTTTAGATGGGTCTTTGAAGCATAAATAGGAGCTCAACAGCGAGGTGGTAGGAGAGTTTCATTCTAGGTGGAAGGGGTAGCATGAACAAGGCCCAGAGTTGGGAAAGCCAGAGGTGGAACTGCCGACCTTTTGGTTAGCAGCCGAGCTCTTAACCGCTGGGCCACCAGGGCTCTAGGCTATTTATAGTCTTTACTTATTCCCCTTGTGTGAATATTCATATTCTTATGTTTTGCTGCATAAATAATGGGTTAGATTACAAGATGCTCCTCCAGACTCCTCTGAGCACCCTGACTGCCCAGTATTACCTTTCTAAAATCCAAATAAATTCTTTATTTTGAAACCCGTTTGGCCTATACTTTTACATGAAGAATTGTGGACTCTATTCTACTCTGGCTGGAGTCCAACATGCACGTATTGAGATGTGGGAGATGAAGCTGCCGAGGTAGGTTGAGGTAGGGACACAGGAGGCCTTGGGTGCAAGCATTGAGCTTGGACTTTATCCATCAGGCTGTGGGGAGCCACTGAAGGTCCTTGAGCAGGTGTGTGTCTGTGAGCCGTAGGAGCAGGCGAGAGCTAAGACAAAACAAACCTGCTGCACTGCCTTGAATCCTTCCGCCCCAACTCCACTTTGAGAAGTGGTGCCTTTGCTCGCTCAATCATCCCTTCCACCTGCCTGTATTTGCAGAGCGTCAGGCTAGGTGCTTTACACACCGTCTCTCTTAGCCTTCCCAGCAGGCCTGTGCCGTAGGTATTATCGTCTCCACAATACAGAGGAGACATCTCTGGAGAGGCTGAGCAACTTGTCCATGGCCACACAGCCAGTAAATATTGGAGTTGGAGACTCAGGTCCACATTTTCCTGGCTCTAAAGTCCACGATGTGAAGTTCCTGCATGGCACAAAAGGTTAAGCACTAGACTACTAGCCGAAAGGTTGGTGGTTCACACCCAACCCAGAGGAGCCTCAGAAGACAGGCCTGGCGATCTGCTTCTGAAAGGTCACAGCCTTGGAAACTCTCTGGAGCAGTTCTGCTCTGCACGCATGGGGTCATCATAACTCAGAATTGACTTGAGGGCAACTAATAACACCGCCTCAATGTAAGCACAAGGCCTTGCACATAGCATGGCCTAATAAATGCCTGAAATTAATGATATAAAGCCCATGATGTTTCCTGTACACTAGACTGCCTCCAGAGGGGAGTCATGGCTGTACTAGAATGGGGAGGGAGTGATTTATTCTTATTGGGACACAGGGGAGAGAGTCTAACTAGGAAGGCCTTCAGGAGGGGGTGACCTTTAGGCAGGGCCTCCAAGGTTGGGCCGGGACAGACAGCTACGTGCAGGTACAGAGGAGAGCCTGTCATTGATTGTGGCCTACGGTTTCATTTTTGCCTGACTGCCAAAGTGTTGCATAAACTATGCTAATGCTAATAGTTGGCCTATATGTGGTTTTTGGTACGTTTGCTTTTTCGGTCCTAATTTGGTAACTTCTCTTTTTAATTTACTACACTTAATTGTGTCTCTTATTTTCTTTTGTTGTAATTCTAAACAGAGGTGGGATACAAGTTCATATAGGTTTTGTGTGTGTGTGTGTGTGTGTGTGTGTGTGTGTGTTGTCATCATGTCACTTCTCCCTGCTCGGCACCAGGATGCTTGGAGGCTGCCGGGCACCTACATGGTGGTGCTGAAGGAGGAGACCCACCGCTCGCAGACGGAGCGCACTGCCCGCCGCCTGCAGTCCCGTGCTGCCCGCCGGGGCTATCTCACCAAGATCCTGCACGTCTTCCACCGTCTCTTCCCTGGCTTCCTGGTGAAGATGAGTGGCGACCTGCTGGACCTGGTGAGCCACCTGGGTTGGGTGCCTCGGAAAGGGCTGGGCCAACAAGTATATCCTGGGGACCATCCTTAGTGTGTCCATCACTGAAATTCAGAAGGAGACAGAGAACATTTATCGAGCACTTACTGGGTAGCAGGCACAATGGCTCCTGGGTTTATGTCCAGGACATCCTTTAAGCCTCGCCGTCCTCCAGTGGTGCGTTCATCTTCATTTGAAAGATGAGGAGACTGAGGTTCAGTAAGAATCACACAGCCAGTTAGGGGCAGAGCTGGGATCAAACACAGGTCCATCTGCTAATGACCTACTGCCTGGGGGAAGCCTGTAGGGACGAGGCCCCTGTGACACTCAGTGGGACTCAGGACCCAGGGGAAAAAATTCTTTGAAGCTGATGCTATACAGAGTAAGGCCGTCCTCTAGGACAGGGTTTTTTTCTCCCAGCTCTGGCCCAATGTCATATCTTTGGTGAAGGAGCAGAAAGGGGCCTGGGTAGTTGAGAACTGCTGCCCCCACCCCCTCCCCCGCATTGCTTCAAATGCAAATTCTAAATGCCTTTTTTGTTTTACTCCCTTCTCCCCTGTAGTAACTGGATGAGAACACATGGTTCCCATTTTCACACTGCTGTCTCCTTGGCGGGGAGCTTCACAGCCTCCTGCAGACACTGAGGCCCCCAGCGGGGTTGGGTCTTGCCTGAGGTCATACAGCATGTAACTGGCAGAGCCAGATGTGGACCCAGCTCTCTGAGCTCCAGTGCATGACTGCAGCATGGTTCAATTCAGTTCATCCTGTGGGGCAATGACATGATGGGACAGGGTCCCAGCCCTTTGGAACTCGTAGTCCGGAGGGGAGACAGACAGTCAATGCCTTCAATCAGTCTGCTCAACACACACTTAACAAGCACCTACTGCATGTTGAGGATACAGAGATGAAGCTGACCCAGCCCCTTCCTCTGAGCTCACAGTGAGAAGGAGAGACTGACCCAGGATTGCCAGTGCAGTTAACCATGGTACAGTGTGCTCTGCACAGTGGCAGGAGTGAATAGGTGCTGACCTAGTGCTGGATGGTGAGCACGAGCCTGCAGGCCAGGGCAGCTTTTCAGGGGAGAGGAAGGCTGAGCAGGAGGCCTCAGACATTTGCCGTTGAGAGCTGGGCTTGGGGATCAGAACAACCTGGGTTCAAGTCCCGGTTCAGCCACTTACCAGTTTGTCTAACCTCGGGCAAGTTCGTTCACCTCACTGAGCCTCAGTTTCCTATCTGGAATAATAATAGGAACAGTCCTTTAAAGACTCAGTGAGATCCATGAAGTGTTTAAGCAGATGCCAAGTACAGAAACTCACTTGGGTGTGTGAAGGGTTAAGGGAGCCCATGGGGAGACTGAGGCACCCAGAGACTAGTTGCAGTGGGAAGCTGTATCACCACCAGGTCTGAAGGGCAAGGAGAGAATAGTGTTTCTAAGCCCAGAGTGAGTTGGTGGCATGGAGGAGGGGCCATCCAGGGAGCACTGTGGTCAGGGAGGGACGCAGCCATTGCCAGAACCCTATGCTGAAGCAGGGAGCGGGTGGAGGAGAAGCACTCTTGTCCCCCAGTCTCTGGCTGATGCCATCCATTGACTGAGCCCAGCCAGAAGTAGAGGAGCCTGGGTTCTGCCGTCTGCAGGCTCAACCTCCCAGGTTCCGAGCAAGGCAGAGAAGGGCAGGGAGTGAATCTGCGGCAAGCAGAGTTACCAGCACAGCTACCATGATTTGGGAGTTGCGTCCAGGTTCTGAGTTCCACTTCCTGTCCAGCTTGCCCAGACCAGATATCAAATTAACACTCCTTCATAATAGAACTCCTTGGGGCCATGCAGTTGGGCTCAGTGGCTGAACTATTGGAGCTCTGGGCTGCCCAGCCTGATGGAGTGAGAAAGCCCTGGCTCCCACTCTGTCGTCCAGAGCACCAAGACAGAACCTGGAGGACAAGGTGGGAGGATGCTGAGTCATGGGTGCAACCCGGCGACAGGTTTGATCAGGTGGGGGCAGGGGCCATGGTTGCGCAAATGGCTTTTGGAGCTCTCTGTCTTCCTGCAGGCCCTGAGGTTGCCCCACGTCGAGTACATCGAGGAAGACTCCTCTGTCTTTGCCCAGAGCATCCCGTGGAACCTGGAGCGGATTATCCCTGCGCGTTACAAGGCGAACGACTACCAGCCCCCCAGTAAGACCCTGGCCACACACTGCACCCCACTTTCCAAGCTGAATCCGCTTGTTCTGCTCTTGCCTCTCCCTCTCCCTGCCCATGGTCCTCACCTCTCAGGGCCTTTAGGACTTGGGGTTCTCCACTGACCACTTTTTTCCTGTCCCATCCTCCCTCCTGCAGGTCCCCGTGCCTCCCTATTACCCCAGGGAGAAGGCATGAGCCTTTGCTTAAATGAGTCCCTTTCCCACCTTCTAAAGGTTCTTGTTTGCTGCTTTTCTTTCTTTGGAATGACCCAGCCACACTTGCCTTGTTGTTGGGTGCCGTCAAGTTGATTCCAAGTCATAGCGACCCCGTGTGGCAGAGTAGAGCTGCCCCATGGGATTTTCTAGGCTGTAATCTTTATGGAAGCAGATCTCCAGGTTTTTCTTCCGCAGAGCCACTGGGTGGTTTCCGACTGCCAACCTTTTGGTTAGCAGCTGAGTGCTTAACTGTTTGCACCACCAGGGCTCCTTAGGCTTGCCTTGGGAAGGGGGGTAAATCTGACTATAGTTCTCCCTAAAGGCCTCTGGTCTCAGTGACTCCCAGCTGCCCCGAGGAGAGGACCAGACTCTTTAATGGGATGACAAGGCCCTGTTTGAACTGCCCCCACAAATCTCTCATCTGCTCTCTCCCTGCCAACATCACTGGACTGCCCATTTGCACAACCATGGCCCCTGCCCCCACCTGATCAAACCTGACCCCAGGTCTCACCCATGACTCAGCATCCTCCTTCCTTGACCTCCAGGTTCTGTCCTGATGCCCTGGATGACACGCTGGGAGCCAGGGCTTTGGTTTCCTAGGGCCGCTGTAACAAAGTACCATAAAACAGGTAGCTTGTAAGAACAGAAATTTATCATCTCACAGTTCTGGAGGCTAGGAGTCTGCAATCAGGATTGGCTGTGTTGATTCCTCCTGAGGACTTTGGAAGAGAACCTGTCCCATGTCTCTCTCCTGGCTTCTGGTGGTGACCAGCATTCCCTGGCATTCCAAATCTCTGCCCCCGTCTTCATATGGCCTTCCGTCTTTCTGTCTGTCCTCCTCTGTCTCTTGTAAGGATGCTTGCCTTTAGATTTAGGGCCCACCCAGATAAACCTGGACTATCTTATCTCAAGATTCTTAACTTCATTACATTTGCAAAGAGCCTTTTTCCAAATAAGTTCACATTCACAGGTTCCGGGGGTTAGAAGGTGGGTATAACTTTTGGAGGCCACCATTCAACCCACTATTATCCCCCAGGCTAGAAACAGACATCGAGGCCCTTGCCTCCCACACTGGGATGCCTATGAGATTGCCTCAGCCCAGTGGGTGCTCCCCGTGTGTAGGAAATGGCAGGAGTGGAAGGCAAGGGTGTGGAATCTATTCTGGAGTCACATTAAGGAGTTGGCTAGGGGAGGATACCCCTGAGGCTGTTGGGCTGGGGCAGGGGCAGGGGAGGAATATGCAGACAAGTGCAGGGCAGGCTCCCCCAGGCCTGGGAGCAGAATAACCTTCATTCTTGGGGAGACCACACAGCACAGTGGTGATGAACACGGGCTCTGGAGCCAGCCTGCTGCACTCAAACCCAGACTTCTTAAGCTGTGTGATCTTGGATAAGTCACTGATCCTCTCTGGGCCTCAGGTTCCTGTGCAAATGGAGGTAATAGTAGATCCCACCCCAGGGATTGCTGTGAGGGCTACATAATGCATTGCTGAGGGGTGTGCATTTATCCATGCCTGGTACACAGTGAGAGCACCATGGTTTTATCCCTTCTCCTTTCTCTTCTTCCATGCAGCAATAATTTCTTGAGCACCCACTGTGGGCCAGGCACTGTGCTTGGTGCTGGGGATATAAAAGTGAACAAGATGCACTTGGTCTCTGCCTCTTCACAGAGCTTGAAGTGTGTGAAGGAGGTTCGCACACTCATTAAACATATAGCTACATAACACTAATTAGTTTGGGCTGTGGTGAGAGCTGGGAAGGAGTCCAGGCCACTGTAAGCATGTATAGCAGGCAGGCCTGACTGTTTCGTGATCCGGAAGGCTTCCTGGAGGAAGTGACATTCAAGCCAAGACCATCAGATACGCAGAGGGAAGGGTCCAAGCAGAGGAGTGAGCGTGAACAGGAGACCTGAGGCAGGAAGGACTGTGGCCTTTAGGAAATGAAAGGATAGGGACCGAGGCTGGTGGGATCAGCAGGGCCCTGGGCGAGGGTGAAAGGAACAACCTGACCACATCTGAGCTCCTCAGGCATGGCAGGGGCTGCCTGGTGGGAGGCAGTGAGCTCTTCACTCTAGAGGTATGCAAGCAGTCATGGGCGTCCACTTGCCAGAGGCTGCAGAGCTTCCTGTGCCAGGCCAGAGGCTGGAAGAGGCTGTTCCAAAGTCCCTTTGCCCCTGATAGTGATGGCTCCCCTGGAGGTCCCCTTTTCTCTCTGTAACATGGGACAATAGTCTCCCACCTTGCTTTGAGGGAGAAGGGGTGCAAGGAGAGAGGGCTGACTTCTAGGAGAGGTCCAGCAGGCACTGTGTCCCATCTGGCCTGGGCCTCTGCTCTTTCTGATGTCTCATTGGAAGCCTGAGGAGTTCCCTGCAGGTGGCCTTTGGCCTGTGCCCTTGCTGGAGCCATGGAGGGAATGCGGGGCGTGGGCCAGGAGGTGGGCACTCCATGCCAGGAGCCTCTTATTTGGCAGCATCTTACCAAGGAGCTGCCCCTCTGTGAGGACCACCTGCTTCCTGTTGGCCATGCTCCCAGCCACCTGTCCCTGTCCTGGCAGGACAGTAGGCTGGGGTGAGCTAGAAGCAACCTCTGCCCTCCAGCCTGTATTTAGAAGGCAGGAGCTGCATCCCTGAGCCTCGAACCTTGGCTGGGGCCACACCCCAGGCCCCTTACCAAGCTTAGCTGGGATGTGACCTCAGTCTCAGTGGACATGGTGCTCATGCCCCATGCTGCTGGGCCCTGGAACAGCTCCTTGGAGCAGATGGTGTTGCACCCAGCCCTGAGCATGGGTGGGCCAGGGAAAGATGTTCAGCATCCTCAGCTTCCTGTCTACCAGGAGGAGCACAAACTTCAAGCTTGCCTGGCGTGCTTCCCTATAGATCTGCATTTCTGTGTAGTTTTACATCTAGAGGGAGAAAGAGGCCCTGTGCCCTCCTCTTGATGAGCTCTTATCCCACTGGGATGCCTGCTGATGTAGCCATCTCTCCAGCCAGCCTGCATCAGGCAGTAGTGGACAGCTCCTCGTGCCCCCGCCACGCTCAGTTGCAGGCTTAGCTGTGTCCCCAGCACCCAGTCTGGGGCCTGTGCTCAGTGCACACTTACCATGGCTTACAAGGTCTTGCATGGTCTGGCCCTGCCACCTCGCCAGCCTCACTGTGTGGCTCTCTCCCTTCGAGCTTCCACAGCCCTGCTCAGTATCTCGTCCCTCCTCCAGTGTGACCAGCACCCTTTGGCCTCAGGGTGCCCTCATGTCTGCCCAGCGTGGCACCTGGCACGTGGTAGGTACCCACTGATGAATGAGAACTATTCACACACTTGGAGGAGGCGTCTGAGACCAGTGAGGAGCCCTGACATCCTGTGTCCTGGGAGGGCAGGCAGACTCCTGTGAACCTGCCTAGCTTGACCCAGAGGTAGGGATGGATTACCCAATAAGCAAGGTACATGTGGGCTTACTTGTGAAATTGGCTTACTACGTGAAATTGTACACTACAGGTTAGTAAGGAAACACAAGTAAGCCCACGCGTACCTTGCGTAACGTAAGCCCGTTCATACCTTGATTACTGGTTAATCTGCCCCTGCTCAGAAGTAACAAAAGTGTCCATGGGTCCTGGGCTGGCGGAGGTTCCAGCTGAGACTGGCAGCTGAGGCGTGGTGGCCGGCATGTGCACAGGTGGGCTGCTGGCAGCCCAGGTCAGACCGGCTCTGGCCTTCACCCTAGGGTGACATGCTGCAGGGGGGAAGGTGCTGCATGGGTGCTGGCCTTGCCTGACATCAGCTCGGGGATCTCCGAGCAGTCACTGAACCATTCTGTAATGGGTTGGCTGGTGACCCCCCAAAGATATGTCCCCCCAGAACCTGTGAATGTGACCTTATCTTGAAAAAAGGTCTTTTCAGATGTAGTTCAGTTAAGGATCTTGAGATGAGATCATCCTGAGTTAGCTGGTTGGGCCCTAAATTTAATGATAAATGTCCTCATGGGAGAAAGGCAGAGGGACAGCTGAGACATGCTGGGGAGGCGGCCACGTGAAGACAGAGGCTGAGATTGGAGTTACACAACCACAAGCCAAGGAATGCCCGGAGCCACGAAAAGCTGGATGAGGCAAGGAAGGACTCTTCTCTAGAGTCTTTGGAGAGAGCGTGGCCCTGCCAGTGCCTTGATCTCTAACTTCTGGCTTCCAGAACTGCAAGAGAATAAATTTTGTTGCTTAAGCCAGCAAATTTGTGGTCATTTGTTACTGCAGCCCTGGGACATTAATCCGGGCTCCAAGCCTCAGCTCCCTCATCTGTCATAGGAAGAGAGTGTCCACTCTGCAGCATTTTCTGACCATCACTGGGTGGCCGTGGAGATGTGCTGTGGGGAGCAGAGCTGACAGACAACCTCCAGGGCCACCCCTTTGGGTCCACCACAGATTCACACCGAGGCCACACTTCTGGGCTGCTTCCAGCCTATGCTGAGCATGGCGGGGGCACTGGGGTCTCCCACTGCCCTGCTGACATATTACCAGGCAGGTGGGCTTTCTCACACGGCCCTTGTGTTGGTTATGAGGCCTTTTCAGAATGTCGCTGCAGTCTGGGGCTCTTCCTACCCAGTTGTCCTTCCTTCCCGCTCTCCTTCACAGGTGTCTGTCTGCAGGCTCTCCCCGCCTTCTGCGCCCTCCCCCGTGATCCTGCACAGTTAGCTGTCTCAGTTAATCTCTTGCAGGCCTAATCCCACCGTGGTGCCTGCCTCTTAGAGACTCTGAGCTGACTCAGAAATGCTGAAGTGTCTGTATGCTGATTCCATGTTGGTGAAGTTCCAGTACTGCTGGTTTCTCTGAGGCAGCCCTCCTGGGCTCCTTGAGTGGAGGAAGCCATGGACTTGGGGCCAGGAGGCCCAGGCTCATGTGTTTTCTCTGAGCCTCAGTTTCCCATCTGTGAGATGAGTGGCTGGCTCAGATGACTCAGACGTCCCTGTTAGCTCAGCCTGTTATTCTTCAAATCCTGTTCTGTCTCAGTAAGATATAAAAGGCTATAAATGGGGTTGGCTTATTTTATACCATAATATTTATTAGTTTTTGAATGTCCATATTGTTATTTCATATTAATATTAAGGAGTCAGATTGCATTGTTCACATCCTGGCTCCTCCATTTGCCAACTGTGTGACCTTGACTAAGTTACTTAACCTCTCTGTGCTTCCCTTTCATTGTCCATAAAAAAAAAGATATAATAGTATGTACCTTGTGAAGGGTTTTGAAGATTAAATGAGTTAATATATTTAAAGTGCTAAGAATAGTGACTGAGATATAAATAGTTTATACATGTTAGCTATTATTGACCACTATTAATCTCTATGATGCTGAACAGGTTTTGGTGGGTCTTCCAACTTAAGACAGACCAGGAAGAAAGACCTGGTGATCTACTTCTGAAAATCAGCCAATGAAAACCTTATGGATCACAATGGTCCAATCCCATTGTGCATGGGGTTGCCAGGAGTCAGAGATCGACTTGATGGCAGCTGGCAACAACAACAACAGCATATTAAGTATTATATTAATGTTTTAACTATTGTATTATCCTCTCCCACAAAATGTTGCCTTGGAAAGATGGTGGCGGCCTGGTGGAGGTATATCTCTTAGACACCAGCATCCAGAGTGGCCACCGGGAAATTGAGGGCAGGGTCACCGTCACCGATTTTGAGAATGTGCCAGAAGAGGATGGGACTCGCTTCCACAGACAGGTAAGTGCCCTGTTGGCCATGTCTGGCAGGAGGAGGACTACCCACCCGTCACCACCACCCTCCCCTGGCCTGGAGGTGGGTGGGGACTGCCACCCCTAGAGCTTCGTGGCTGCACTGCTAGCCTGGCCTCCCAGCTGTCACTGCCCCTTCCCTGCCGTCAGTCACGGGGCAGGAGTGTCCATCGCCCAGTGGCCTGCTGACTTATTACCGGGCAGGTGGGCTTTCTCACATGGCCCTTGTATTGGTTGAGCAGGCGAACAAGTGTGAGAGCCACGGGACTCACCTGGCAGGGGTGGTCAGCGGCCGGGATGCTGGTGTGGCCAAGGGCACCAGCCTGCGCAGCCTGCGCGTGCTCAACTGCCACGGGAGGGGCACAGTCAGCAGCGTCCTCATCGGTGAGTGATGGCTCCAGGCAGCACTGGTGTCTCCGTCTGGACCTGGTGTGGGAGGTAGCTTAAGCTTAGAGACAGTTAACGAGTCCTGATCGAGGAGGCTGAGGCAGCCCTGCTTTAGGGCCAGAGTCCCAGAGTGTCAGAGCTGGTCGGGCCCCCACGGGTGTAGATGGGGAAACCAAGGCCCAGAGAGGGGCAGGGTCTCAACCCAGGCCACACAGCTTTGACCCCCTGGGTCTTTCTACAACTCCACACTGTCCCTTTTCTCCCCTTCTGAAATCTTTTGAGATATTATATTTTGTCATGCTTTTTAGAATTGATAGACCATTGAGATTATATAAGCAAACTTTCTCCATCTTTTGCTTGCATACAGAGGACTCATTCCCTTGCATTCCTGATTGGGCCTTGCAGTCACCCCGGCCGGTAGACTTGGTGGAGAGACTGGCAGAGAACTTTTCCAAAGCACTTGCAGGTTACTCCATCAAGTACCCCTGGCTGAGCCGTAGCAAGGTCCAGCTGAGAGCAAGGACTCTGGGGGCCTGTGGACAGTGAAGAGGAAGGGAGCTCTCATTTGCCGAGTTCCTCTCGTGGCCAGACACTGAGTGAGGGATTTTGTACACCACACCCTGAGGCCGGCATTGTGATCCCTATTCAACAGTGAGGAAACCAGCCCAGAGAGGGCAGGTGACTTGCCCTGGCTCACGTAGCTAGAGCCATTCACCTCATTGGAGAAGGTGCTGGCACCGAGCAGGGCTGGGTCTCCACTGCGGGTCCTTGTGTCAGATCCTGGCCCCGGAGCTGGCAGAGGCATCCATCCCGTGGGCCTGTTTGAAAGGCTGGGGAGGCCCAAGAGTCTGCCTTGGGGTTGGTGAACTCTGCCCAGTGATGTTCCTATTTGGAACACAGGTTTTGAAGTTGGGTTTTTAAGGCAAGAATCAATAAGGCCCTGCCCCATCAGGTGACCCTTCTGGCCTGCCCCAGCCTTTATTGACTGCGCCGAGCTCAGGCAGGCCAGTCCCAAAGGTCAGTGAGAGGAGGACAGGCCACGCTCCTGAAATGGCTCTCCCTGTGAAAGGCCTTCCCCAGGCCTGGTGCCCTGGCCTTGGGGTGCTTCCTGGGGAAGAACACGTCTCCTCTTGGAGCCCTGGTCAGTGTATCGAAACCCCCTAACACATTGCCTGGTGGGGCAGGTGCTCAGCAAACAGTAGATATTACATTCATTGTTACCATTAGTTTCCTCTTGTGTAGGCAGGTGACTGAGGTAGTGTGTCAAGCACTAAGCACAGCCATATGCACATAGTAAACCAAAACCAAGGCTGTTGTTGTTGAGTCGATTCCAACTCATAGTGACCTTCTAGGACAGAGTAGAACTGCCCCATAGGGTTTCCAAGGAATGGCTGGTGGATTCGAACTGCTGACCTTTTGGTTAGCAGCCGAGCTCTTAACCACTGGGGCTTTAAAAACGGCAGCTGTAAGAGTGGTTTTTATTCCCCACTCTCCCCCTTACCCAGTGCCACACGGCTCTCTCCGTCTCAGCCAGAGGCTCTGGGGACGTCCCAGAGGCCCAGATCCAGAAAGTTCTGAGAGGTCAGCCAGACCATAACTATTTGGCAGAGGAGACGCTGTCAGCTCCGGGCTCCCTGGCATCTCAGGGGCCGAACTGATGTTAGAACCCGGGTCTCCAGGCCACCAGGCCAGAACTCGCAGGCCGGTGAGAGGTTAGAACCGTTCCACCATGATTCTGAAGCCCTGTTGGTGCAGTGGTTAAGAGCTCAGCTGCCATCCAAAAGGTTGGCAGCTCGAATCCACCAGCCACTCCTTGGAAACGCTATGGGGCAGTTTTACTCTTTCCTATAGGGTTGCTATGAGTCGGAATCGACTTGACGGCTACAGGGGCTACCATGATTCTATGTACTCAGCTCTAAGATGGGGAAGTGAGGGCTGCAGAGGTCAGAGGGAAGGATGCTGTCAAGGATAGGGGGTCATGAGCCTCACCAGCTCCAGGGTGTGGATTATTATTTTTTAATTGTGGTAAATATATGTGTAACAAAATATCTGCCATTCCAACATTCTTCGCCTGTCTAATTTAGTAACATTAATTGTGTTCATCATATTGTGTAGTCATCCATCATCATTTTCCATTTCCAAATTTTTCCATCACCCTAAGCTCAGTTTCCCCTAAGCCGTAAGTCCCCTTTTCCCCCTCCCTCCCATCCACCTCTGGTAACCACTAATACACTTTGATCTCTACACTCTTACCTATTCTAGATATTTCACGGAAGCGGGATCATACAATATTTGTCCCTTCGTGGCTGATTCATTTCACTTAGGATGATGTTTTAAAGGTTCATCCGTGTTGTAGCATGTATCAGGACTTCATTTCTCTTTATGGTAGAGTAATATACCACATTTTCTTTATCCATTCATCAGTCCATGGATATTTAGGTTGTTTCCAACTTTTTGGCTTTTGTGAATATTGCTGCAGTGAACATTGGTGTACTGCATGTGTCTTTTGTATTCCTGCTTTCAGTTCTTTTTGGGCATACGCCTAGGAGTGGGATTGCTGGATCGTATGGTAATTCTTTGTTTAACTTTTTGAGGCACTGCCATACTGTTTTCCACAATGTCTGTACCATTTTACAATCCCACCAGCAATTGATGAGGGCTCCTATTTCTTCACATCCTCGGCAACGCCTGTAGTTTTCTGTTTTTAAAATCGTAACTATCTTAGCAGATGTGAATTGATATCTCATTGTGGTTTTGATTTGCATCTCCCTAATGTGGCACAGGAGCCCTGGTGGCATGTTTGTTAAGTGCTTGGCTGCAAACCAAAAGGTCAGTGGTTTGAACCCACCAGCCACTCCACGGGAGAAAGATGTGGTATTCTGCTCCAGTAAAGATTTACAGCCTTGGAAACCCTGTGGGGCAGTTCTACTTTGTACTGTAGGGTCCCTATGAGTCAGAATTGACTTGACGGCAACAGGTTTGGTTTGGTTTTTTAATAGCTAATGATGTTGAGCAGCTTTACATGTGTTTGTTGACCATTTGTGTTTCTTCTTTGGGGAAATGTCTATTCAAGTCTTTTGCCCATGTTTTGATTGGTTTGTAGTCTTTTTGTTGTTAAGTTGTAGGAGTTCTTTATATTTTCTGGATATCAAACCCCTATCAGATATATTGCTCACCAAAATTTTCTTCCGATCTGTAGGTTGTCTCTTCACTTTGTTGATGAAGTTTTTTGATGAACAAAAAAAAGTTTTTAATTTTGTTGAGGTCCAATTTATCTCTTTTGTCTTTTGTTGCTTGTGTTTTGGTGCCATATGGCATGGAGTCTTTTAATCCTCACAACAATCCAAGGAGCCGTGATGCCCATTTTACAGATGAGGAAACGGGTCTCAGAGGGGTGAGGTCACACAGCTAATGAATGGGGAGCCAGGACTTGAACTCGAGTTCATGTGGCTCTGTCATAGTGGCCTAGTGCTGCTGTACCAGAAATACCACGACGGGTGGCTTTAAAGAACAGAAATTCATTTTCTTACAGTTCTGAAGGCTAAAAGTCCAAGTCAGGGTCTTGGCCATCTGGATTCCTTCCTTGTAGGTAGTCCAGGGCGTTCCTTGGTTCCTTGGCTGTTAGATGAGCCTCACATGATATCTATCTCCTGCCCCCCTCCCTCCCC